CCCGCCCCCCCCGCAGCTGACCTATTGAACCAGTTCGGATAGGTAATTATAAGTCTCACTTCTGTCATCTGAGAACTAGAGAAAATTATAAATATTTGCAGCCTACCTAGAGTATTTTTAATGCCTATTTATCAATTCTTTTTAAAAGTAAGTCTTATTACAATCAATGATTTTGTTTATCTGACAGCAGAAAACTCACAAATCCCTTGTCAGTGGGCAGTCAGAGATCTGGCAGCTGTCTCGGGTATCACAGACTTCCCCTATCCTTTCTACCAAGTAACAAAATCAAGCCCTCACATAGGTGGAGGTTTTGCCATCCTTCCACAAAACACCAAACCCCTGATTTACAGCAGAAACATCGAAGTTCGAGGAAGAGGAGTCTGAGCAGGAAAGAACTCAGGTTTGCTATACTTAGGTTCCCAGTGAACTTTGGCTAGAAGATACATTCTGGTATTACCACTGCATTAGTCATTTCTTGTTACTCCCTATAAGAACATGAAAAACATGCTTTCTACAGTTTTCTGAAGAAATCATGTTGTGCCTTGATTAGAGAAGCAGAAGAGGTGCTTGACATCCAGACTTAATATGAAATGCTATGCAGGATTCATAGTATTAAAGAGGAATTCTGCCTCATCCTTTGAAGGAAGCCAGCAGTAGTAAAATGAACTATTTACATAATCTTGTATGTTCTTCATAAGTTCAGGAATCTCTGTTTAATTTCTCATTCTGTAAAATAACGGTCTCTGTCAGCCTTGGTGATAAATCTAGTCCTTGCTTGATTTATAGAGCAACAAATGCACAAACAACTTTATTTTCTACTATACTGCCTTTTAATTTGGAAGCTGAAATGAAATGTATTGAGTAGTTAGCGTGGTCTTGCAGATGTATGTATTGCTTTTCACTTTGAAGGATCTTAAAATCCTGTGCAAACTAAGTACACACAGCAAAGCCAGTGCCATTCCAAGAATGCTTTTTCCACAGAAACTTCTGTATTGTAAGTGATAAAGATGTTTATTACCTTTATTTAGTGGTTTCTCTTCTGGCTGTTTCTTGTGCTTCTTCCAGTTACCAGTGAATATCCCACTCCATTGAAGTAATTAGGGATTTCATTTTGTTGTCATATATTTTTGATTACTTTTTTCCTGTTATTTTTACCTAGCTTTGCTTTATAAGTCTGAAGGGAGTTACTTGGTCCTACCTCTTTACTGTATGTTGTAAATATTGAGGAAAGTATTCCTTCAGAAGTGATTGTTTGACTTAAATGTTAGTAGTCTGTCAGGTGGTTGAATTTCCAAAATAATTTAAAAATCATTGTTCATATTTTGATGTCAATATTCTGTTTTCTGTTTGCTTATTTAACTGCTGCTATAACATTTATGTACTTGAATTTAATGTCACATAAACTTGAAAAAGTCAATGCATGACTAAGAAGATCTTAAAATTTCTAATAATTTAATTTATTGCCTTAGTGCACATGTGGAAAAACTACTAAGGGAGAACATATATACTGCATTTCATCAAATCTAATCAGCCTTTCATATGTCTGTTGGAGGGTTTAAAAAAAAAAAACACAACAAACCAGGTTGTCTTAGATCTGCCTATTAGAAAAAAAGCATCTTTGTGTGGGGTGATGAGTTAGCATATGTCTGGTAGGTGTCCGGTAAGTGTAAGGTATTTCACTGTGCGCATGTGGCAGAATGGCTGCATTCTCGCTGCAGATGCCAATGTGTGGGCTCCAGCTCTCTGCAGAGGCTTTGTGTTAGTCACTGCAGCTGTCAATGCCTACTCAGAGCTGTAAAACCAAAGGAGTCTTTTTCAGCCCTATAATTCTCTTGTGTGAGATTAGCCCTGGAAACAGACATATCTTCACCTTGCCACCTTGGTAGCCTGCCTAGGGTCAGGTGGATAACCGTGAGCAAGGACCTATCATAAAGCAGATGATGATATCCATGGACTTTATGCACCATTTCTTATGTATGGGTTTTTCTACAATATTAGAGAGGAAATGAAGGACTATGCTTTCTATGAAGCATAGTCCTCAATGAAAGATTGAAATACCTCACTGTTGTTGCAGGGTAAAATTGTATGCATGCACGAATTATCAGCAGAGCACTTTGTGTGTAGTAATTTATTTGCATGTCCATAGTCCTGTATACTAAATAATGAAAATTCATAAAGTCATCTTGCATTTGGGTAAGTATATTTTATGGCATGCATAGCATAATACAGTGCATATTTAGATAGGTACAAGAACTGAAGAAGACTATGTTTCAAGTGTTGGAAGGAGCAGAACTGATTGTAAGGCATAGGGCAGTCATACTGGTTGAGCATATAACTGTCACCAACTCTGCCCTAGATTGCATGAAAAACAGTAAGTCAGCAGATCATTTTCTAATGTCAGCTACTTAGTGTTTGGGAGACAGGCAACCATCCTGCTGCGGTGACGGCTGCCCTACACAAGAAAAACTCCTCTTTCCACTGTCAGCCTCTGCATGTTCCTGTAGGAGAACAGATGCATGGATGCAATTTTATGTGCTGTTCAGTATGACAGTGCACAGAGTTCAACTTTAGTATTTGAAAAATGCATCCTGTTTCTCTGATTTTGAAACTTCTTGAGTAGTAAATCAGTTTCTGTAATAGCCATTATGGAGGTTTCATAGGCCTTCAAAAGTTGGATAAGAACAAGCTGTTTAAATACAGGTTAAGTGAATGCAGAGAGCATTCACTGTGGAGGTCAGGTTGGTCTGTGGTTCAGGATTATAGAAACAGATGAAGGTTTGTGCTCTTTCTTTTTGTCTATGTCCTTTTCTTTTGTGGAGCTCTGAGGCCCTACTCAAAGTTTGAACTTACTTCTGTCATGAAGCTGGGCTGGTGGTCATAGAAAGCAAGAGTATGCAAATTACCCAGCTGTATCACTTGTTCCCCCTCTCCCCCCATTCTCAGGAGACTGCATCATGGAAACAGTGATGGTGCAATAAATGTGCTTATGAGTTCCTTTAAATACAGGCGTGTGTAGCTTGCCTTGTATAGTTTCTATCAGGCAGATGACTTTTTCTAGAGTATAATCAGGATGTATGCAGCTTCAGACAAAACACTGGTTTTGTGCACAAATTTAGAAGACTGAAGAACACTTAACACACCGTTTAATTCTGCATTCTACATTCAATTCCCCTTTTCAGCAAACAGAATGATGTTAGTAGTATTAACACTTTGTGTGTAAATTTGCACATAGCAGTGCACTGAGCATTTTTTTGGTCAAGGGGCTTGATAAAAAGAAATCATAAAGAAATCTTATTCAAGCCATGAGATTCTGCATTCTGAAACTCCCTTTTTCTTTTCATTTAACAAATGAGAATATATGGGAGCATGCTTTAATAATGCTACGGCTGTAAGAAAATAGATACATTTTAGGATATAAAGAGATGTGTCTTTTAACTTCTAAGTTTCCAGAAAATAGCGATTAGGAGTTTGCAGATGTCTCTGTTTTGAAACTATTTTTCAGGTGTCGCTATTTTTGAGCTACCCTACTTTGATGAAATATGATGCCAGAGCTAGCAAGATAAAGAGTAGTGGTGGGGACCTCAGTTTAAAGCGTGTTAGTCCAACTTGTTTCTCTGTTAGTAGCTATAAAGAAAAGCTTTTGGAAGAGATACAACATGATCTCTTGCATAGCAAATGAAAGGTTGAGGGTTATGTAGGAACCATCGGGCTTAAGATCCACTGAGTTATCTCAGGCTCGATTAAACTTGCTGCAGAGTAGCCCCAAACCTTTGCTTTGCAGCTCCCAATAAAATGTGTTTAGTTACTTACTGTTTAGTAATTGAAGAAATCCCTAATATCAAGTTGTGGTGACATGCAGAATTCCTCAAAAGGCCTTAAAACTCTGATATCTTCACCAGGTGCTTGAAAAAGTTAATTTAGGTCAGTGATTCTTGGTCAGATACCATGCCCACATTAGCTGGATAATTTTATTCTTTGAAGTAACAAATGCTTGAGGAAAAATTCTGAAATTAAAAAAAAATCACAGGTATATTGTCTGTCTGCTATAAAAGTTAATATTAACTAAAACCAATATGAGTGTGCAAGTTTCCTTAAAATTTCTCTGTATGTTTTATGGATCATTACTAATGCTCATATCTGTTTTTTGCGTATTTTAATGATTCTTCATTATACAGGCGACAACATACAGTGGCAAAACCAAACAAATTTGTGAAAGACATGCTGTGCTATATATTGCTCCCTACTCCAAATTAGTCTTCTAACGCCAACACCTATATATTTGATTTTAACTGAAGGGTTTGTTATAAGAAACCAAGTGGAAACTTGCAGATTTTATTAAAACCAAAACCACAGATAGCCAAACATCTCAGTATTTATTGTAAGGATTTGTCAAAAAAATCTTTCTAAATTTATGGTGTAGTTACAGGAATGACTGATTTAAAACCAACCAACCAACCCACCCAAAAACCAACCAAACACACAACCCCCAAAAACAAGGAACCAAAAAAGCACCTTACAACGTGGAGTTTTTGGACCAACTTTGATTTTTCTATCATTATGTATCACCACAACTTCTACTGAGTTTGTTTTTAGTCAGATGCTTGAAAACTGTGAAAAATTGAAGAAGATGTTTAAACAGAGGTTCCCAAAAGTTGAGATGTAAATCAGGTTTTTTGAGTGTCCTGGTTCAGCTAGGATAGGGTTAAGTTTCCCCAGCAGAGAGGGGGAAGGGATCTCCACCCGGGGTATTCATACCATGCTGACTTCAGGTCTGGCAAGGCCACACCGGAAGCTTTCCTTTGTGGCTTTTGTCGCAGGGAGCACGCGAGCGAGCTGTCTGTAACCATTGCAGTATTTCTCTGTATATCTTTTGTCTTGTTTACTGTTATTGCTGTTTATTGTTATCATTGCTACTGTTGTTGTTCAGATTGTTATTACACTGTTGTAATAAATTTCTCCTTATTTTAACGTGGGGTTTGTGCCCTACTTGGGTCTGAGGGTGGGGGAGGGACAACGGCAACGTGGTCTCCGGTCCCGGCAAGGCCTAAACCAGCACATTGAGGAAGGTTTTTGCATGTCTGTTCTGGGAAGATGACAGCAATGATCTCCCTGGGTTTGAAGTCTTACAGTAGACTTCCATGCCACTGCAACTTTCAGATTAAATTAGTGTAGTGTGTACTTAAAAATTTGCCTTTGGAGATTATCAGGAAGCTATAACAGAATGTATTAAACAGTGCAAGATCATTATGTTATTCAAATACCTGTTATAGCAGAAGATCCAAGACATGGTTTTTAACAGACTATAAATTTCTGTGATAGAAAAGCAAACTGATTTTCTGCAAAGAGCATTCTTACAAAATGCAATTTGTTGACACCAATACTGAAACACCCTACTGATATTTTTATTGTTTCGCTGTATGTGTGAGGAGGGGAAGATAAGTTGCCTATAAAGCCTTTTTATTTTTTTGGAAAGCATGTAATTTTATAACAGTGTCAAGATTTTAAAAATCAACAGGTAATCATCTGGTGCTTTTGGTGAAAAATGCTGAATTTCAGAACTTGTTGCTTCTTGGTAGTCCAGTGGTACTAGAGTTAACTAATCCACAAAGTCTACTGGTAATCTCACAGCTGAGTGTTTGTCCAGTTACCTACCTTCTTGTAGTAGTTGAGAATCTCCCTGTGAACTTCTGTTGCAGTGTGCATGCATAGAAAAACAAATATAAACATTTTTATTACACTAGAAGTGTCTTTGTTAGTGTGGTTTTTGGCATGACACAGTGCTTTTTCCTAAAATTAGTGTCATACCCTAATTTTTAAATTGTTAACCCTACCCCAGCAGAAGTCCCTGTGAGCTCTTCTTTCTGCCAGGGTTTCCTTGCATGATTTAGACTAGCGTGCCCTCCTCTGCATTTTGCATTTGCTCCACTAATTCTACTGTAGACCATTTCAAGAAAAGCTGTCAAAACCAGTGATGTATACAAATAAAATAGTGTAAAATACCAAAATAATTGGGGTTTTATATTGTGTGAGAATACATGGAAAATGAATTAATGTCATAACTGCAATAAAAATAAACTTTTGTTCGCTTTCAGGTTTAAAAATGTCTGACCAGAAAAGTATTGTACAAAGAGCCCATTGTATTGAAAAACTACTGTCTGAGAACAATTTCCAAGATATTGAGGATCATCTTAAAGAACTTGAAAATGTTGATATGACAATAGAATATCTTCAGGGGACAGAAGTTGCCAAAGCTGTATACAGAGTACTCAAGAGCTGCCCTTCAGTAGAGTTGAAAAGGCAAGCAAAGCAGTTATTATCAAGGTGGAAGACACTTTACAAGCGTAACTGTGTTCAGTCAGTGCAAGTTAAAAAGCCAGCTTCTGTGTGTATGAAAGAGGAAATTGAACAACATACTGTGGTTCCTAGAGAGCAGTTGCTGTCTGAAGGACCATGTCAGCAGGAGGTATTAGATGCTACTGGTTCTAAAATTTTGGTCCCATTGCAAACTGCTAAAAATGTGGTATGTAACAATGCAGAAGGCAGCATGGATCAGGTTTCTTCTTTTGAGAAACAACATACCCATAATGAAGATTCTAAACCTCTTGCTAATGAAGCGAGTCTGCAGCAGCAGGATACGATGAGAGCTCTGAGGTGTAAATGTACAGATCTTCTTTATAAAGCTTTGACTGGTTCTGCCAAAGACGAAGAAGAAACTGATAGATGGCTAGAGCTATCTAAAGAAATTGAAGAACATATTTTTGCTCTTCATGCTAAAAATGACAAAAAGTATAAAAATTCCATCAGAAGCAAAATCTCTAACCTGAAGAACCCTAAAAATTTCCACTTAAAACATAACCTTTTTTCAGGGACTTTGAGTCCAAAGGCTTTTGCTGAGATGACAGTGATGGAAATGGCTAGTGATGAACTGAAACAGCTCAGGGCTTTGTACACAGAATCATCTGTTCAGGAACATCAGCTTCCACAAGTTATTAATGGCACACGGACAAACAAAATAAAGTGTAGGCGCTGTGAAAAATTTGACTGCACTGTCACTACAATTGCAAGAGGAACTCTCTTTCTTCCAGGTTGGGTGCGAAACACAAATCCAGATGAACAAATGTTGACTTATGTTATTTGTAATGAATGTGGAGAACAGTGGTACCACAGCAGATGGATTTGTTTGTAACACTGTCCCTCCCTCTTTATTAAGTGGTTTAGAAACATAGATATGAGAAGGTATCTCAACTATAATTTGAAATTTTGTATTGCTATTATGTAGATGCTGCCCCGTAGAAGTGCAAAATCAGTTTTAAAAATTGCTAACTTATTTTTGAAGGTGACTTGAATAAATAATGTGGGTTTTAAGTAGTGCCATTATGTAAAGAAATAAAAAAAGGGGAAAAAAATGGTAACACTGTATCTTGAGAGGAATATTCACTGGTAAATCCATTAAAAATATTCCAGGTGCTGCAATTATTTTTTCCCCCAAGGTACTGAGTAATTGGAATTTTCATTATTTTCAGCAGGAGTTCTTTCACAGAACCTAAGTTTCATTTACAGTAAACAAATTGTTTCCATAACTGCAGTTGACATATTTGTGTGCATTGCAGAATGTTCAGCATGGATTCACTCCTTAATTAAATCACTTTTTGCAAGTAACTGTTAGATTATTAAGTTGATTTGACAGGTAATGTCTAACAGGAAAAAACGAATGAAAAAGTGTAAAAGGGGAAGAAGGCAACGAGCAAATGAAAGCAAATGAAATTAAATTCTCCTTTAGATTTTTATAGCTATTGGGAGGAAAATAGGACTTGTGACAATCTATCAGTTTGCAGTTCAGATTTGCAATGTAAGATGATGTGTCCTGCAACTGTTAAGAAATTAATGCAGAATCGAATCAGATAATGGTTTATGTCAGATAATTATGTAAATACATTATTAAGTTTATCTTTATTTAATAAAGACAGACATGAAGTTAATAGGAGTTAATCACTTTCTGAATGGATATCCTCTGTTGAACTGGAACATCTGTCCTGAACTGAGCAAATTAATCTTTTTATATAGTGCAGCTTACCCAGAAAAAATGAATAGAAGGAAATGTAGAAGCTGAAGCTTTTAGACATGTATTTGTTCCCAGGGTCAACAGGTTTCCCACTGTTTGTATACTAGAAGCATTTGTCAAAAAATACCACCTTAGTGTTATTCTTACTTAAGGAATAGCCCTGTTTATTCTGGACAACTTAAAACTGCCTCAAAATCAGCTATCTGAATACTTTGAATGGAGTATATATCAGAAGTCAAGGAGCTGTTTCTTCTCAGAACAGGGAGAGCCACCTGAATCTGGGTAACTTTCAAGCTGTCTGTTGGTCAGTAGAAGACCCGTGTTCATACTATGTGTCCCTGTTCTGGTTTCTTCACTTGTTTTGAGTTCCTGTAAATGTTTAAATGAGAGGAAATGGGTCTTTCATTGAGTCTTGATTTTCTGAATGTACGAATGTGTCGACTCATGGAACTAAGGAAATGCAGTGAAGGATAAGTCTGCCCTGCCTGAGAGGCTAGGTTCTTGCAGCAAAGCAGTAGCACTGTTTGGAAACATAACCTTCATAATGAGTTTCCTTGTTGGAGTGTGGACAGGACTGTGAAATGGGTCAATAAATCGCCAAAGTCACGCTTTAGGCAGAGAGGCAGGTGTTTTGTTTCATCCTATTATATAAACACAATAAAACTGCATACTTGGCATTAATGGAGATATCTTTAACAAATGCACAGCAGGCATTTTGCAGTTTGAGGCTAAAATGCATTAGCTGAGCAGAGAAACATGGTGAGAGCTGAGGCTGGTCAGCTTCTCTGGGCTAAGGCACTGCACCAGAGCTCTCCAGCCACATGACCTATCAGAGAAAGGAGCTAGGAGCATGAGATAATAAAATAGCTGTTGCTGTACTAAAAGCCACCCAGGACTGAAACTAAAAGAGGAGACAGACCTTTATCTGTATATGGTGGAAATGGTGTGTAACCTGATTTTACAAAGAGGCACTTACTGAAAAAAAAAAAACAAAAACAAAAAAAAAAAACCACCAAACCCACCCAAGAAAAATCTTTTCCATTCTGTGAAGTGTTAACCGTTAAACTTTCAGTGGTGTGATTTACTGTGGCATTACCTAGATTTTTATCATGTGAAAATGTGTGTTTTAGTGGCATTGCAGTGATGTAAAACAAGTATTAAAGCATTAGGCCAGCCCCCAGTGTTGGAACTGTGTAACCAATCAGTTAATAGCTGACCTTCCTTACCAGCCCTTAACCATGTTCTGGAATTGATGCTTACAAGTAGTTCTGCTTGTTTAAGTGGAAGTACTTCTGCATAAAGTATTGTTTTTAGCTTTCTATAAAGCCATAGGAAAGCAAACACTTCTGAGTTACTGGTTCACAGTAAGCACAGAGTTGAGGAGAGCTATACACCTGTATTGTGCTGTGTCAGAACACTGTGTATCAGGAGACTATTTTTGCTGCGAGCAATGGACACTTAGAAATAATTTCTGCCTGCAGATGGTTTTGAAGCCATTCCAGTGATATACAGTTCATCCAGATTTTGTCTTAGCAAAGGGAAGTGTTACAAGGCATGGATGGTGTTCTTGATAGAGTATATTTCAAGGGTAAAATTTGTAGCTGTAATACTGTGACATAGTGTGTAACATGATTTTCTTTTGAACTGCCCATCACTAAATGTATAGTGCTAAGCTATATGCCCCAACATGACTGGGAATTTCAACAGATCCATATTTACTGGGCATTTAAGAAAACGTGAACCACTGATATGTTAAAACTTTTTCAGATCATTGAGCAAGCCTGCCTCGCCGTGGATCTGAGTGAGCCATGCCTGTAGCAGCAAGAGGGTCATTTCGTTCTAGCCTTTCACATCTTGCCCTTTCTTCTGAGATGTGAAAATAATAAAATCCAGTTACTAACAACTGCAGCTTACGGTATAAAACCTGTCAGTTTCAGTTTCAGAAACTGTCAGTAACAAGTAGTAAAAAAATGAATTGTAATCATGTTTCTTGTACAACTATCCCTTAACTGTCTTCCACGTTTCAAACTGAGAGTAGTTGGAACTCTCAGGGCAAGTCCTTGATACCCTCACAGCTGTAAACTCAGCACTTCAAAGTCGATTTCCATGGTAATACATTGTGAGCAGGTATTCCTCTATTGCCTGCCTTCCCAGTATCAGTTGACCCTGAGAGCCATCTTTGCAATAAATCCAGTTAAAACTAGACATTAAAAGATGAGAATATATTTGTAAATTCTGTAAAATCCAGTAATCATGAGAAGAATTTCTGTTCCTGTGGAAAGACATGGAACACTTACCTTTATTCAGGAGTTACCTAGCTGCTAGCAGCTGGTTCAGCACACACAGAGTTGCTAGGTTCTTAGTATTACCTAAAAGCCAGACACAAAATACACTGCTGCTTGCCCAGATAGTAGTCTGCGATAAGGAGGAGATCTGGGAATACTGGCAGAAAGTATTGGGAGCCACGGAAAGTGAATTTGGCCCATTGTAAGTATGTTGAGGACAGAAACGTATAGGAAATGAGGTTTGTTGTTCCAGGGCTGGTGAAAAAGCTTACCTGAGTCTGGTTTTACTTTATGCCTAGTTCATGCTGATAAACATGCTGCCTGTAACTTCACATTTAACAGTTAGTGAAACTGTATACAAAATCATGAATTGTTGTATTACCTTCTTTATCATCTTATGCCTTTGGTTGTTTTCACCTAACACAATTTGTTACTGCTTTGGCCATTTTTCTGTCTCTTTGTATCCAAACCTCATTACTTGAAAGGTTTTGTAGAAAGCAGATGTTGTGTAGTGTCATGTGCCACTGTATATCAGAATACCATACAGCCACGAAGTGCCAAGTATAAGACTTCAGGTAAATCATTGCTCTTATTTGAAGAGGTGTGGTCATAGTTTCACTAAGCAAAGTACTCCTCCAGGCTGGAGTTCATCAAGAAGTTAAATTGTCCCTACCCAGATTGTGTAACTGCGCAGGCTTAAAATGTTTGACTGGATAAGAGTGTATGCTTTGGCTCAGAATGGCTTTGAAAAGTCAACTTGCAACTACACAGCCTATGTGCCAGCAGGAGAGTCTAGATTACTGGAGTACAGGGAGTATCAGAGTCCAGAAACAAGAATAAAAGGAAAGCTTTGAAAAATGAGATGCTTTCACGTTGTTGAAGTCATCCTTTTCCTGTTTGTTCCAGGTGGGAAAAAGATCTCTTAACTTTTTTAAGCAGAGACAGTTAATTTTAGTACGATATTTAGCATGTCGATGATGCTACTCCACAAGGGAACATGACATTATAGGTGATCCACAGAGACATGGAACAAATGTATGCTGAATAACGCTAAAGTCTGTATTTATTTTCACTGGGTTTTCGAGAGATGCTGTAAATTCACCTGCTTCTTGAATTGCTATGATTTAACAGTAACAAAAGGGACTTAAGCTTTGAGTGCAATCTACATTTAAGCAGCCTGTAGCTGCAGAAATTGTAATATTTGTCTTAAGATGAGAGCTAAATTAACAGTGAATTTCACACAACTTCAAATGTAAAAGCAAAGATATTATTCTGAGAAGTGCTCTATTTATTGGAGTTGATGTTACTCCCTTAACACCAGTGACAAAACTGCTTCTGGTTTCTGGAGATCCACTGCCAGATCCATTTCATTCCATCTGTTGAGGGTGTTTTATATCTTCTCTCATAGCTCTCTTACTGTAGTGCTTTTCAGGGAGGTACTCAGCTGCCATTCATTGGTTGTAAGTCTTTCTTCCTTTCAAAACCAAAAGGAAATTTGTGTTTATTTAAAATGTATTCCTTTCAGTCTGCTGTGCTAGGTACATATGTTACTAAAGCCAAGAACTGCAACTCTTTAAACAGAAAAAGAACAACTCTGTTTCTGGCAAAAAGAAAAGTTACCTGGTAACGAGCTGTGATTAAGAAGCAAATATGTTGAATTACAGTCCTTCAGGGAATCTTCAGGGTGTAAGGGCCCAGTTCATGGAGTGCCTAGAAGATAAGGAAAGAAACAAGAACACTTTGATAATTTCTTGGATCACTGAGGGGCTGGCTTGCTGCATTTTGGTATTAACAGAGCCATAAAGGCAGATGACTTCATATCCCCTTATTTTGTACTGCTGTAATTCAGCCAGGAGGTGACAAAGTCATGTTTTATTGAGGCGATGTCATCACTTGCCAGGATGGGACAAAGTCTCCTTGCCAACTACAGATGGTAAAAAGCATTATTCACAAGCTCTATTATACGAGAGCTTTGCTGATACAGAACTTTCTCATAAACACAGAAAATTTGCCCTTTATTTGCCATTGGGATGTTATTTGTGCCATTGCTACCATGTGACATAACAATTATCTCTTCATGAATACAGCTCTGTGAATCAAATCCTTAAGGTGCAGAGTCAGCTTTCAGATGAATGTGAACGTGAGGGAGTGGCAAGGGTGGGTTGCTGCAAAAGAGGAGATGAGCCAGGAGTGGAGGGTGAGTGACTTCAATAAAAAGGGTCAGTGCCCCACAGCACCCAAACAAGAAGATCAGGGCAGGTCTGGTGACAGTGATTACCCAGAACACCAGTGAGCACCAGACAAGTCTGTGGGGAAGAGGCCGTGTTGAGGTGGGCTGGCTGTTTAATGGGAGTTGGGGCACAAGGTGGGGTGTAGGTCCAGGGCTACTGGGATCAGACAAAGCCTGAGCCAAAATGTGGCTTCCATTGGCAGCAGGACTCTGAAGCAGCTGCCCCCACCGGCACTGCCCCAGCCCTGCTCACCACCACTGGGACAGTTGGGCAGCACCCTCAGGCAGGGGCACAGCCCACAGCACCCACTGTTGCGACCCTACACTGTCTGCAAAATATAAAACAGGAGTGATTTTGGTGTATGTGATTCAAACCACATCTTAGCTGGACATTTTCTTCTGTCTGTTCCTGAGAACCTGTATGTATAAATCATGTGACCAGCCCCATCAGTGGCATTATTTGTTCTACAGTTCTTAATTCTCCAGCAACTACTGGTTTTGTTATATACATGAGCAACAGGGTGGACACAAGGGAAAGGAGCCTTCAGTTCCTGATCCTCAAGCATGCATGCATTTTAACCATAAGAGTAACTCCATTGATACTCCACTATGACTATAAAATCTTACACATAATAGGCCATAGTTACAGCATGGTCCTTTCCTATTTTCTTTTATGTTTCCATGTAAAAGAAATAAAAGTACATATTAACTCAGAAGCTTAAGATTTTTGTTTCTAACTAGAACTTTCAAAATGTGAGGGACCTGAGCAAGCTTGAGAAGTGGGGCCATGTGAACCTCAGGAGGTTCACCGTGGTCAAGTGCAAGGTGCTGCACATGGGTTGGTACATCCCCCAGTATCAATACAGGCCAGGGGATGAAGGGATTGAGAGCAACACTGTGGAGAAGGACTTGGGGGTGTTGGTTGACGAGAAGCTCAGCATGGCCTGGCAGTGTGCACTTGCAGCCTAGAAAACCAACCATGTGCTGGGCTACATCAAGAGAAGTGTGACCAGCAGGCCAAGGGAGGTGATTCTCCCCCTCTGCTCATGAGACCCCACCTGGAATTCTGTGTCCAGCTCTGAGGCCCCCAGCATAAGAAGGACATGGACCTGCTCGACCGGGTCCAGAGAAGGCCATGAAGATCAGGAGGCTGGAACACCTCCCTTATGAGGACAGGTTGAGAAGGGTGGTGGTGTTCAGCCTGGAGAAGAGAAGGCGGCTCTGGGGAGACCTTAGAGAAGCCTCCCAGCAGCTCAGGGGGGCTTATAAGAAAGATGGGGACAAACTTTTTTATTGGGCCTGTAGTAATAGAACAAGGGGTAATGGTTTTAAACTAAAAGAAGATTCAGACTAGATGTGAGGAAGAAAGTTTTTATGATGAGGGTGGTGAAACACTGGAACACATTGCCCAGAGTGGTGGTAGATACCCCATTCCTGGAAACATTCAAGGCCAGGTTGTATGGGGATTGGGCAACCTAGTCTAGTGGAAGGTGTCCCTGACCATGGCAGAGGGGGCTGGACTAGATGACCCTTAAAGGTGCCTTCCAACCCAAACCATTCTATGATTCTAAATTTTCTTAAGTGTATCCAAGTGTCTGAGAACCAGTGTTGTCTCAAGAAAAAACAATGGTAACTTTATCGCACAAGGTATCAAGTGCAAAAGAGAATAATTATTTCCTCCACTTCTAAATGCAGATTTTTTTTTTCTTTCTAAATCACAAAATAATGTCATAACTGATCAGAACTTACGTCTTTGAATTGGCATCATTTAAAGATGCCATTTTTCTACTCCTCCAGCACTTGTATTTTACTATAGCATTGAATGAAAGCAGAGCCCAGGAAAAAAAGTACTTAAAAATTTTCAAAGTCCAGCTTTGTTAAATAAGAATGGGTCTATCATCAGATTTGCCTCTAGCATGGACTGCCTTTTAATAATCCTGCTCCTGTCATTAGGAGGCATTTCCTTTTGATGATACTGAGATCTTGTTTTCCGTTCCTTGGGCCGTGTTGTAAATCTGATCCAAAACAAGATGACTCTGCAAGTGGCAATTCCAGTCTGATTGCATCTTCCTTATGATCGGAAGCATGTGATGACTGCTTGAGCAAATGGGTGCATTTCAAATGCTCTCTCCTTACGCCTGTCATCAGCTATTCCTGTTGATGATGTGAGAACCTCTTTAAATGCACTTAAATAATTTCTGCTCCTTTCATTTTCATTACATTTTGCCCTATCCTCGTGTTGAGTTGTAAGAGCACATAAAAGATTCTATCACCCAGCTCCTTTAGACTTTGTTTCCTGTGATCTTCTTGTAAACAGTCAAATTGGCGTTATTCTGAAATACTGCAGAAAAAGAAGTGTCTGACTGCTCTTTTTAAATTGCATACTTTGGATTTTGGTTAATTCCTTTGACACGTGTACATTTTTAAACATCTCTACCTGTAAAGCGAAGCTGCCTTACAATCGTGAGTTTGCTTCCATGGGGCCCCTGATGCAGAGCACAGTGAGACTACTGCCTTTAATAAATAACTCTGACCTGCAAATACTATATAAAGGCGTTTTATAGCTTAGTTCAGAGCATTCTAGAGCAAATTCAGAGCATTCTAGAACAAATAAAAGCCTTACCCTCTTGCAGTGGAGCAGTGCAGCTGGAGATCAGTGCCCTGCACTGGCAGTGAGCACAGCTCTTCCCACTGACGGCCTTGCCAAGGACAAAACTTTCGCAGATCCATGGCGGGACATATCCAGCCCCACCTCCCCTCCCCGGAGACCGGTGCCAGCGGCGCCCCCCGGCCAGGGGCGGGGCCATGGGGTGGGGGCGTGGCTTTAGTGG